ACGGCAGCTAAAAGAACCACACAGCCATTCGCTCAGTCCCCCACTCCTAGTGGGATGGGGGAGAGAATCGAAAATGGAAAAAAAAGTAAAACTCATGGGCTGAGATAAAGACAGTTTAATAGGACACAAAAGGAAGATGATAACAACAACAATAATAATGTGATGAACAGCACAATTTCTTACCACCTGAAGTTGATGCTCAGCAAAACCCTGAGCTGCCCCGCCTCCCTGCCCACCTCCCAGTTATATGTGGACCATGATGTCATATGGTACAGAATGTTGCTTTGGCCAGTTTGGGTCAGCTGTCCTGGCTGTGTCCCCTCCCAACTTCTTGAGCACCCCCAGGCTTCTCGTTCACAGGCTGAACGAAGAGAAGCTGAAAAGTCCTTGACTGTTTGGCAACAACTAAAAACATCAGTGTGCTATCAACATTATTCTCACCCTAAATCCGAAACACAGCGCTATGCCAGCTGCTAGGAAGAAAACTAACCTTGTCCCTACCAAAACCAGGACAATGGTAGATGCCATTCTTAAGAAACATTGGCCATGTTATATCACAGGATATATCTTAAAGGGGACATTAATTACATTCCTAATTAAGGTGCTCAAAAGCATCCTTTCTGTCACAAGGAATTTCTTTTTCCTGAAAAAGCGTGATCTTGAGGTTATGCCAAAAGACCAGGACTAAAAGTCTAGCTCAAACTTTTGTGCACCCATTCCCTCATGCATGAATGAGTATACCACTTCTTTTCTTGCTTGTCTGTCAAATCCCTTTAGAACATTTTAAAGCATTGGAAGAGGTAGACCTAGCAGACTTCTAGATGTTAAGGGTAAATGTGGCTTTTATTGTCATCCAGCATGACTAATACAGTGAGAAAGATGAAAGAATATCACTCGATTTCTGCATTAAGACTGTAATTTCTGGTTTGTACATCTCTCTTTAAAGAGATATTTAATCTTGGACTTAGACTGTTGAGTTGAGAAAGACCTTTCACTTTCATAAGAAGGCTAACCCCATGGCTAAATCTGTACTTAAAAGTGTACACCATGTTTCCAGTCTGATTTGGTGAAGTATTCTTAGAAGATGCCACTCAATAAGGAATCATGGAAAAAAATCTAGTAGCAAGTTACTGTATTAAAATAGCTTGGAAGAGGTATCCTGGTGTTTTCACAGAGCTGTGGCTGTTACGGACTTGTAATTTTATGCTCTCACAAGATCTGTGCAGTTCATGTTTCAGTTGGACACCTGGAATGAGACTCAATCCAGCTGAAACAGTCACTTGTGCCTCAGATCTTAAGCAAAAGTCCATCAGTCCTCCTGAGGTGAGGACTTGTGTTCCTGTGTAGGTGACAGAGGTGTGAGTTTGAAGACCTGTGGAGAGAGAGACTTACTAAAGTTGAAACACATGTCTGGGAGTAGGAACTCCCCTTGGAGAGCTTCTAAGAAACCAGTCTGATCTGCCTCTATATGCAATGTTTGAGTCTCTACTTCAGGACTCCTTCATTAGCACCAACAGTTCAAGGCACAAATTAGGTGATGAAGTTGGAGTAAGTGGTCCTGCTCCTTGTATGTACAACATCTATTCATGTATACTTCCTGAAGAATACATTAGGAAATTTGAGTATTGGTTAAGATTCGAGTTAAGAAGAGAGGCAGGTGCAGTTCTGAGGCCAGCCAACACAGAAGCAGTATTTTTGCATTTCTCAGAGACCTTATTTAACTCCTTTGTTTAATTTTTCAATTTTGGTTACACTCAAAGTGGGAAAAATACATTAGTTACAATTTAGTAGTCTTTGTACAAGCTAGGTCCTTAAATAGTATTGTAATACTATTATGTTTTCATAGGATTGAAAAGCAGTGAAAGGAGGTAGGAATTTGAGGCACTGTCATCGGAGTATAAGCATGGAAAAAGTGAAGTCATCTAAGCAGAGTTATAGTGAAATTAAGATTTGGAAGCCAGTTGGTTAAAAGCTTTTCTAATCTATAGTTTTCATCTTTCCTCAGAAAGTTCCCCCTTGTTGCTAGATAAAACCAACGCCAAAAAATTCCTTGGTGACACTGGAGTGTGATGTCTATCTTAAAAAATACTGAATTATCTAAAAATTCTCAACATTATGTTGACTTGCACAAAACATTAAGTTTGCGTTTTTTCAGGACCTCCTTTTACCTGGCCAATTTAAATGACCTGTTGTCTCTGTTAAGACAGCGTACTAACCTTATTGTTTATTATAGCTGGCAGATTTTTATAATTAAAGTTGATGATCGGTATTCTCTTAATTCGGACATAACTATTCTCATGAACTGCAGTGTCAAGGCATTAATTCTAAAAATTGTGTGCAATTGTGTGAATAAGAGCAAACATTTTTAGCATGTCTTTTCAGTTTTGATTCCATAGCTTTTAGCTGCAAGGTTTTTATGTTGTTAAGCATCATTGCAAGTTTAGGCATCAGCTAATCTGCTTTTGAGATCTCAACGTCTCTCAAATGCAGTTGTTTATTTTCCCATATTTTAGAAGAAATTAGGGACCATATTTTTCCCAAACACTTTTGGGTGCTCAAAAACATACCCACTATTTAGTAGCCACTTTTATCTGCAGTTATACACCTTCCTTTTTAGCTGTAGTTTTGTATAGGAGGTTGCACATTTTAAAAAATATTTTAATGCAAAATAAAGTGGGCTTTTTTTTTCTTTTACATACCTCTCTGCCTTGAGGTTTTTATTACTTTAGCAGATTCTAGTCCCCAAGGTACATATTTAAGAGAGATAAGGCATCAAATCAATATATTCTAGCTACATCAATATCATGATCCTCCATCCAACAAAGTGTTAAGATGCATGTTTACCTTCAGTGATGAAGGAGTCACTGGAGCTACTCATAGGCTACTTTCAAGCACGTGGTTGCAATTTTGGTATTAGGTATAGATTCTCTGTTAATGTTCACCACGAGAAATCTACCCCAAGCACACGGCAACCCGTGTGGGTATGGTGTGTGGCCAGTCCTATCACTCCTCTTCCACAAAGGTTGCTCCCTTGAACAGCTATTCATTTTTTAGACCCACCCTGGAACAGTTACTCTCTTTCTAAATCCGCCCTCAAACAGTTACTCACCTTATCCACGCCCCCAAAGTGACGACAGTGGAAAGTCCGAGAAGGCAGCAGCACAGAGCTTTCAAACCCTCACGAGGCAAGAAAAACATTTGCTTCTTTTTTGTGTGTGGATTTTTTTTTTATGTTAATGGTTTGTGGTAATTTGTCTAAGAAGAGGCATGAGATTTATGGTGGGAGGAATATATTCACAGTAAACCACTGCAGCAGTTAACAAATGACACAGCTTTTCTTCATCATGTAACTAACCTTGGAAGATGGTTTTTTGTTTCATTTCAAATGTTCCTCTAGGATAAAGCTTACTCCTTACTCTTGCCTAGTTGCACATCACAGTTGATGTGAAAACCATGAAATATTGTGGGTCATTTGGGGGGGAGGGTCTAATATTTCTGGTTTTTTTCATGGCTCAAACTACAGACCATGGGAATTCAATTAGGTATTGCTCCTACTTGATTTATGCTTTTCTACCAGTAGGTCAACTAACTCAGAGGAAAATTATGTGCTATTCATCCTACCTGGGAAGAAGGGATTGTGCTACAGGGCATGGTTTTCATACAAATAGTGTTTTCAGGAGTACTGAGCGCTTACAGGTGGCTTATGGCTCTGACAGAGCTACAAGCGCTCAGCTGTGTAGAAGGCAGGTAACTAAACAGGGCTTGGAGTTGTAACCAGTTCCAGCCAGCTTGGCCCCAGATATTTGCCCACATACCTCTAGGCCACGGAGAGAATGATAGTTACAGCCTGATCCTGCACAGTGCAAGCACTCCAGTCCCCATCCAACAACTTACTTAGCCAGGACTCATTTACTGGGGAGTTAAAAGGGCTGCACCCTCATTAGCACCATTTGGTGCAAATATGCTCAGTTAAGTAGCAGGCTTTGCCTCTGCCCCCTCCCACCTCATCTTTCCAGTTTGCATTGCAGATGTATCCTGCCCTTTGCTTTGTACCTGGCAGGCATCCCAATGAATGCTGGTGCTCCTTGTGTATTTCAAATTTAGCGTGTTGCTTTGCTGGACTGTGACTGGAGTGTTCCGTTTGCCTTGCAGAAATGCATTTTAGATGGACTACTTATTTTTCTATTCCCTATTCTAGTGCATTTAATAGTGTAATTTCTACTGATGGTTCATTAATTATTCTAGCAATCTGTTGCTGCTGAAATGCTAGGGTTAGTTTCTGATTTATTTTTTTCCAGGCAAAATTTGTGTAAAACGTGAGAGCTCACATGATGTTTTTGTTAGGTATGATGCACTCACCAGGATTTGAGGGAAACCTAAATTTCAGCTTCCAGACTCTGATGAATGCAGACAGTCTCTACATGGTCTCACATTACACTCTGCTGCTTAACCTAAAATTGGCCAACTCTGATTACTACAGGAAGAAGCCTGCCCAAGCCCCTGTGTTGCTGGTGAGTTGGGGAATATGGGAAAACTTAAAAAAAAGAAAATTTGTTTTGCTTCCTTTCACATAAAAGCCCACATGTAAAGCCTTCAGGCTGCTTGCTAAGTGGAGAAATAATAATTGCAAATGAAGTATTCTCCAAGCTGCTTATGAATCTTGCATGATAAATGTCATGCATCTGAATTACACGGTTTCTCTGTAATTTGGGGAGGAATGAATTCTGCTTACTGATTATCATTAAAGTAGCAGTCATTTTGATGGATACTCTGTCTTCAGAACAGATCTTAATTAGCGTCATTGATGTAGCAAGTATTGTTTGTGCACATTATCAAGGGATATACCTTCATCTTGCAACTACTTTTGAGTATAATGACAAATTTCTTGCTTAATACTTGATTTGTATTTATGCAGATGAAGACATGAGAGAGTGAAAAATAATTAGGTTTTATTAGTATGAACTGATGGTTTTTGTGGCACCTGGGATTGCTCAGCTTCTTCAGCTTTTTAAAAATTGTTTTGAAGGCTGCAGGAGTTATAAAACATGAATCTATGTTTTTCAACTAAGTTGCCCAAGAGAAGTTGTTTTAGAGTTTTTCTAAAAATAAAAAAATCAATGATATATGGAACAAAAAAAAAAGAAAAAAAAATTCTGTCAAAATGTACCATTATTACTGAGCTTCCCATGTAAAAGAATATATATTCTAGAAGACCTCAAAAACAAGTGGGTTTTAACATCATCATCATCAGTTCTGGTATGTTCTTCAGCAGCTGTGAGAGCAAATATGAGACTCAGAACCTTTTCTAGGGGCAGCCTTGTGCACAACAGGCCTGAGCATCACCTAAGTATTGTTGAAAGTAGTTCAGATACCTAATTGGACCTCAGTTCATCTGTGATGACTGTTCAATGCAGAAGGGCCTGATTGCTGGACAGGCAGCATTAGGTGCCACAACTTCTTTTTATTGGAATTGAGATCCTACCTCTACCTTACAGAAACAGTGAGAGATCAGCATGGCCCGTTGTCACTGTGCAAGAACTGTCATTATAATTTACATCTTGCATGAACTGCGGTAAGACAAGGGAAAGCTCCTTGTTCGTGTCGTTCAGTACCATAGAGACACATTGCAATCCTCAATTAATTCTTATTTTTGCATAACTTCATTTCTACTCCTGCATACCTTTACACTCAGGAGCAGATCTAGGAGCTGAGGCTTATGCTGTAGGGCTTACTGTTGTCTTACATCTGGCTTTCATGGTTCTCTGCAGAAGGAGTTCATGAAGCAGGTCCAGTCCAGTGGAGTGTTGATGGTATTTTCCCAGGCCTGGGTTGAAGAACTGTACCACCAGGTACTAGAAAGGAACATGCTGGGGGAAGCTGGATACTGGGGAAGCCCTGAAGAGCACAGCCTTCCACTTATCACTATGCTGACTGGTCAGTACTGTGTTGTGGTGCAAGGCTAACTTCCAAACAAGTGTCTAGAACAAGCTACAGTTACATGCTGCTTCATTGCATTACATACAGAACAGCATGTCATCATGCAACGTGATGTTTCATGAAATTACTGGTAGAGAAGGAATCAGACATAACTGTGGCAAGTACTTCAGTGTTTGTTTTGGATCAGACTGAAAGCTTTTGAAGCATGGGTTTAAAAAGAAACTGTCTCCCTGGGAGACAGGGAGAGTAGGTTTGTTCACTGAACCAAAACATGTATTCATTCTGTCAACTTCAGTTCTGGTAGACTTGGTACCTGTTAATGATAAGCGGTAAGGCTGCTGTTTTCTTGATGTCATAGCAAAGCCATTTCAGTGTGCCTGTGGTACAGTACAAATATAAATATGGGCTTCTGATCCTGGAAGCCTTCCACAGATCAGGCTCCCCTTGGTTCAGGTTTGTGCTATGCCAGGGATAAGCCAAATGGCGCTAGAGAGAAGCTGAAAACCTGGAGCACCTCTAAGAAATGCTTAAAAACAACCCTTAGCTTCCTTTGAGGGAAAAAATGTAATGGTATCAGCTGAAAGGCAGCAGGATGCCTACGACATTGCGTGGATATAAAATGCACTGTCTGCTTGAATGTGTATACTGTACGATTACAAAGAGGTAAGAAGGGTGCCAGACAAGACCAACTAAAAAGCATACCTGAGAAGTCAGGACCACTAGTACTTACTTGAACAAAGAGCTAGTAGGAGATGCTTTCCTTATACCATCTGGGTGTTGAATAGTAATCTGTTGTTTTTTAATGTTCTGGCAGACATCGATGGTTTGGGAAGCAGTGCAATTGGTGGCCAACTGATGGCATCCGCTTCAGCTCAATCTCCTCTTTCCCAAAACCGGAAGACAGATGATTCTGTTGTTGCAGGTATAAACACTGTATTATAAGCACAGGTGTATCTACCAGCAGTGGGTTGTTATATACCATAAGCATATTCAGATAAATTTTGTTTTAGAACAACAGTTTAAGGGTTGAGGGAAGTATGTCGATACTTCTTACACATGGATTGGTAGTCCAGCATGCAGAGGACAAATATGACTTGTTTTTTACCACTGATGATAAAGCTGCTGTTGTGTCATTTTCCAGTAGTAGTACTAATGCATTTCTCACTCCAGGAGTTGCTTTTGCCCGATATCTTTTAATCGGCTGTTGGAAGAACTTGATTGACACTTTGTCCACACCACTGACTGGCCGCATGGCAGGCAGCTCCAAAGGGCTGGCCTTCATCTTGGGAGCAGAAGGAGCCAAGGAGCAGAACCAAAAGGAGAAGGACTCCATCTGCGTGAGCCTGGATGGACTGAGGAGGGCAGCCCGGCTGAGCTGTGCTCTAGGTACTGCTGCATGTGGGATGTCATGGCAGAGTCATAAAATAAGATGGTAGCTTTCCTTGAATGAATTTGGGATAGAGAAAAGCAGCATCCTGTTCCAGTCTTGGATAGGAACCTGGACTGTAGGGCTCCCCATACAGCACACCTGCCCTACAGTATAGGCATATTCAGCCAATTTTCCTTGACACAACCTGTTGTTGAGATTGCATGGGATTGGGGAGGAAATGTTGGTTAAACAGTAATTATGTTGTTACTTTACAGGAGTTGCTGCTAACTGTGCATCTGCTCTTGCCCAAATGGCTGCTGCCTCCTGTGTCCAAGAAGAGAAAGAGGAAAAAGAAATTCAAGAGCCTAGTGATACTATAGCTCAAGGTAACTACATGGTTAAATTACCTACCTTATCTCATACTGCCTGCAAAGATGCAGCTGGAAAGTGCTTTACTACACATAGAAGGACAGAGGGGAATGCCACTACTGGCCACCGCTCAGTTGTAGGCATATGGGATGTATGTCTAGAGGCTTCAGTACATGTCCTGCTGTCCTAGGTTCTTAACATTATGTCACACTAATTATGTTTTATATGGAACTGAAATCAGTGGAACAACAGATAAGCCAACTGCATTTTTGAAATGTGCACTTTTTAAGCCTTGTGATACTAGTACAACCAAGAGGGCATCAGAGAAACAGTTTGGGTTTTTTAATGTGTTGGGTGGTAATATAAGCTGAGTTTGTGGTGTTCTCCTTGTGTTGTGTATACATCCTTGGTTGTCTTTTGTCATTATCAGATACTTAAAACTGTTTCTGAATCATGTTAAATGAAGCTGGGATTAAAAAACGATATATGTACAACATCTAAAAAGTTCTACATCTCTATTCCACTACTTCAAACCCAGTGAAAGTCAATAAAGTCAATTGTTGTCTCCAGTGACTGTTTGGAAAAGCACATAAAATGTGTCTGACAACATCTGATTTCTAATGGCAAGAAGCCCATAACAAAACAGAGTTGCACAAATGACCCTGCTTGGCACTTAAATTTGGTGTCTCGATAGAGAAAACAAAGCTGAACAGACCTGAGCACAAACTAGCTTTTCACCACTCTGCTTGATATGACTGAAACGAGTTGGCCAGGCCACGCTGAAGCGAAGAGGAGGCAGTAGCAGTGGCCAGAGGCCAACAGATCTGTTCTATGAAAGCTTGCAAAGCTTCAAAATTTGTTTCCATTCCAATTCAACATGAAAACTAAGCTTTTCAGAGATTCTCAGGAAAAAGAATAAGGTCCAAATGCTTGTAGTTCAGCTCAGGATTAGTTTTGCTTTGACAAGAGTATCCATTAACAAAAGCTCTATGGTGAAACTTTTGTATGGAAATAGATGTGAAATCCGGAAACTCTTATTTTTCCATACCAAAGGAGATTTTGGTAAAAGTAAGTGAATATCCAGCCAGCCAGCTCCAAAGAGGAACGTGTAATATCATTGGCAATCTGCATCTGTTCTGTGGACAACAAGATGTGAATTTGGGGATGGAGGGTGTCAATCTGGCATTGATTTTTTTTTTTTCCATGCATATAAGATCAATCAAAAAGGATTTTAATTTTAAAACTGCCTTATGTTTATTAGGAAGAAATTGGTTTCTCTGGTTTGATTTTTGTCTAAAATCCACGTTCTTTTATAGCTTTCAGACTTTATACCTTTGCCATCACCCTATATACAAAGCAGTGTTTGTTTAAAAGCTGGAGAAGCTAATGTGTTGGGGTGTTTTTTATTTTTCATTCTGTAGTGAAACAGAAAGTGGAGCAGAAACTGGAGCAGATGGGGAAAGCGCAGGGAGTCTGCCTGCACACTGCTCATGTTTTGTGTATGGATGCAGTCCTTAACGTGGGCCTGGAGATGGGAAGCCACAATCAGGACTGTTGGCCTCATGTGTTCAGGTACTCACCAGCTTTCCCAAAAGCAACATAATTTATACCATGTTGCCTGAAAGTCATGACTGAGAAAAAGGACTTTACATGCTCTGGGAGTGTTCTGCATAAAAAACGTCAGAGTGAATTAACTGTCAGTATGTGTAAGAGAAAAGATGGTGCTGTTTTCCACCACTATTCGGAAAGAAAATCAATGCTTAGAAACTTTGAAGTTACTAAAATACTGCAGGAGAACCCAGGAAATGGGCTTTTCAGGCACCTCCACTAAACTGTTTGCTATCTAGGCACAGGGGAGGGCAAAGGATGTAAGAAGACAGGTTGTCCACGTGTAGTGTGGGAGTTAGAGATTGTCTGTGCACAGTTTGAGGAAAACGTCCTGTGCATCATATCTGGTTCAGATGTAGAAATCAGTGCCTGTAAGTTGGCAGTGGGTTTCCATGTAAGGTGGCTTCTCCCAGCGATGGGGCTGGGAGGCAGCCAAGAGCTGTGCTTGCACTACCATTCTGACTCACCTCTGGAGTACAAGCCCAAGCGTTTCTTCGATGAGCCTGGTGACTAGTGGGGGGAGGAGTTGTTGTTTTAGGGGTTTTATTCATCTTTCACTTCTCTTGTTTGTTCTCAGGGTGTGTGAGTACATCAGCACGCTGGAGCACACCCACTTCAGTGACGGTGCTTCCCAGCCCTCCCTTACCATCACCCAGTCACAGCAGGCACCTGGAGGGCTGCACCCAGACTCTGAGCCTGGGGAGTCTCCCCAGGTACTGACCCCCGAGCAGGAGACCACCCTCAGCAGCAATCCTGTCATTCAGCCGGTTTCTATCCAGGAACTCATCAAGGAGAGCAGTAAGGGCAGAGCTTTTGACTTCCGTGGAGGCAGCCTGCTGTGTGGGACCAGTGCTGCCAAGGCTGTTCTCACGCTTTCCACTCAAGCTGACAGGTAAAAGCAGTGCCGTCAGGAACCAGAATCCCTGTTCCCAAAACAGGATCAAAATGGACCTTTCTGTGGTGCAGTGGATCCTGATCTTTGTTGCAGCCACTTGGTTCAGATGAGTTTCACAAGAGAGTTGCGTGTGTGTCACAACCAGCAGTTCCTAAGAGACCTGGTTTTCTGCATCTCTGCAGTACCTGCCCTGCCTGTACTGGACTGAGTATGTGCACAACAGTGAATATGCCAAGTAAATCAAATACACCCTGAGAGTGGTGGATTTATTCCTTGCATGTAAATTAATCTGTTGTGTTCATTAAAGCAGACAAAATAAATGGGTGTCTTGTCCTGACAGGAAGGGACTGAGTGACAAGATGGGTGTCAGTTAGAAAGCAGCTCCTTCTGTCAGGACTGCGTGGACAGCTTGTCAGTCTGCCCCAATGTGTCTGGAGGAGGAAGGGCCACCAAGAAAGATTACAAAATGGCTAGGTTACTGTCGTGGTTTTACCCCAGCTGGCAGCT